ATAGATAAAGCTGTTTTTATAAAGATAATGTGAAAAATAAGCGAAAGTGGTTTTTCATTTTCGTTTGCCGCAATAGTCTGTGATTATTAATTAAGATGCTTTATGTGACAGCTGGAAACTTCAGCTTTGGTTTTCTTTTATTTTATTACTTGTATATGAACAAATATAGTATGTATCTAGAAACTGGGTTCCTGAGTTGAAGCAATTTCTTTGTACTGTTCTATGGCTGCAAAATAAGAACAGAAGACAACAACTCACACCACATATACAGGATGAAAATAAAAACATATTGTTCTCAGACACGACAGACAGAGCGAAAGTCGATGTGCTTAGATACGACAGAAAGGAAAAGAAAGATGTCTTTTCATTTCCATACCTTTCTTTCGTTTGTCATATTTAAGTACATCCGTATCTTTCTGTATCTAAGCATATCTTTCTTTTCCTTTGTCATCTCTCCTCTGTAGTCCAGTACCGTATCTCTCCTAAAAGAAATTAAAGTGATAGATGAGAACAAACGAAAATGATAAAACCAGATCTAAATGATTCAAAATTGCGTTTTCACAAATTTTCTATAGGAGTAAAGTCAGTATTTTATATCTCCTTATGATATGAAAGATATCTGCTTATTTCCTGTTTCTCTACTATCATATGATAAAATATTTATAACTATATCCCAAGCAAACAACTAGAGCTAGAATCGGACGGTTAGACCTAGGTAACACGGTTTTCGACCCAGTTAAGCTAGCTCCACCTCAAAAAGTTTAATCTAGGATCGGGCGGTTTTGGAGGTTATCACCTAAGTTAACCGCCCACTTAACCGACCGGTCAAGATAGCTCCTGGTATCGAATAGATTAAGCACAAGGAGGTTATCAGCTAGGTTCTCGTACTCGTACTTGTCCTCGTTTCCTCACTTCTCCTAAATTAAATTTTCCTCTCCTTTTGATATAAACTTTATCCTTTCTGAATACACACTCAGAATACACAATACTTATATTCTGAAAGGATAAAGCTTATATCAAAAGGAGAGGAAAATTTAATTTAGGAGGAGAAGTGAGGAAACGAGCACGATGAAAGGCTGGGTTAAATCCATTGCTTTTTAGGAGCCTACTTGTATCTTAGATTATTCTTAAGTCGATGTGTGGCTATGTCCACACATGGCATAGCTTGTGTAGAAAGAGATATCTCCTTTTTTGCTGTATTCCCAATGATCGATTTTCCACGATTCAGCACATTGTTGAATGCTCATATTTCAGCTCTACAAGATATTTTATAATCAATTCAAAAAGATTTTCCTGAATTCTCTGATGTCGATTATTGATCGATGCATACCTATTCTATAATTAGGCTGAATATGCTATTAGATTTATCACATTTTTAGCTAGTCACATATATAAACTTTCTGAGAAGTTCATTAAGAAGAAGTCTTTGGAAAAAAGTACGTTCTTTTTAGGCGCATCATTTCACTTATTATTCATTTTTACATATCACTTTTATATACACATGTGTTTACTAGGAACGAAAATAAATATAAATATATTTCTGCTCTTTTCCTATAGTATCATAGGTTCCTTTTTTCTGTCACGTGTAGACTATATGCAATAATATTTAGACATAACGAAATATGAAAGGATCGGATAAATAGACTTTACTTAAATCTTTCTGTTTTCATCTTCCTTCCACTGTTTGAAGAATACTGAAGATCAGTGTGTATCAATAGATCGTAAAAAAGACATCAGCTGAAAGTAACTCTACAAGCTTCGCTTTATTCTTTTTCAATTAAAATGAATCTTCGACTTTGGAGTACTTTCTTTCACTTGTTAGCAGATTGGAACAGTAGAGCCAAAGCAAATAAGTAGTGTTAGACCATTTGTTGCGGCTGTCGTATTATAAGATGGATTCGTGGCGAACCAAATATCACATTAAACGTAACTTTTTTGATCGAAAAAACCCTGAGAAATCATCTGCTTCCGATTTGTAAATAAAATTGAAATATTTCAATTTTATTTACAAATCAGAAATAGGTACGCAACAGCTACGGATATAACTACAATTGTAAAAACTGCATAACTGAAAAACTGTTACAGTAAAACTGAGTTATAGATATGAGTAATAGGCTAGCGAAAGTGCCTACTAATGGAGGAATAGAAGACTGTTATTGAGCACCTATGCCATGCTTAATAAATGCTCACCAATTTATTGAAGAACCGTTTAACGACGAATCAAATGTTTATCCTTATAGTTTGGTTTAGCAAGATTGCATTCAGTTTTCTAATTCCAAACTGCTGTTTGATATGCTTGATAAGCATGAATAGATGGATGAAGAGGACGAGAATAAAAGCTTTAAAAAACAACAACAGTATTTTCGTTTTTTCTTAACAAAGCTCTTAAAATATAGCTTTACCATAGCTTCAGGTCTTGGCTAGCGAATGTTGAAAAGTGCAAGTCTCTATCTTTTATTCCTTTTCATTTATTCAAAAAACAACCACTGGCCTTATATTTTGGCGCCGATAGTAGTCATGTCCTGTAAAATCTGAGAAAGATTCGGACTGAGGCACATGTTAATAAGACTTGTGAGATTTCGGGAAAATTCTGTTACTACCCTATTAACGTCTTGCGAAGCTCTAATAGAAATTGTACCAGACGTCTATTACTCAGGTGGTGAGTCTAATATATGATATTCATGAAGTTCTTCTATGAACCCAAAACGAAACGTATAAGGTTCTTACACAAGTAACTGCCACTGAAAACCAGTGCTGCAACTTAATGGTAATTATAGTGTAACTCGTCTACACGACTGCTATTGAGTACGGTGATGCACTCACTACATTCAGTTTTACATAATTCAGATAGCGCAGCTTAGCGACTATCTTTTTCCCACGTAATCCAAACCTCCTGTGTTCGAATCTCGGTTTTGACAGGTCATGCAATAACCTTGCCGATCTATGTTTTCAATAAGATTTACAGCCACATATTCCAATAGAATTGTATGAGTACTAAGCACCCAGTCAAGTTTCTGTTCACGAAATGTGAGTGAGTAAAAGACCAAATTCAGCCTTATAATTAGTAAGTTGTGCAATTATACTGTTACAGTTCCAGAAGAGCACCCGCGCAGAGTCAGCCTTATGTTTGCCAGTTTTCTCAACCATGAATAAAAATGGTTCAGAAAAAGACCAAATATCAGGCTGTCTGTGCATGCTTTCCGTCCTCCGTGAAAAGGGAAACGGGAGCCCTCTGTACCAAGGCACAGTGAGGAAGGAGTAGACCGAACACTTCCAGCCTGTTTTCGCAGTTGTGATCTTCAGGATCATATATTTCGGAACTAACTATGTCTATTTCACGCAAGCGCAAATGACAACAGACTCATTCTTTTAACGTGTATTCCATAATACATTTGTTTGCACAGAAAAAAATAATTGTACAGATGTATTAGTCGCTCTGAATCAGACTGGGAGAAGTGGGACAAATTGTTGTGCCATGTACGCGCGATCCATAAAAAGTTCTACTGAACACTTGAAAAACTGTATTTCATTCATAATAATTTGATATTTCTACGATCTTTTACTCTCTCAAGCGCGACAACACCCTGAACATCATCATTAGTCATGTAAAACCTCACTCCCAGTAGTATATTCGCAGATGGCACTAATAATTCGTCACAAATGAGAGATATTGCATACAACCTTCATCATCTTTATTGAATCTGAATGTACATCAACACAGCTTTGGTTCCATTATTAACAAACTGTCGTAGTATCCAGTACATGTTAAGGTTATTTTTCGTTAATCATCAAAGAAAAAAGTATATAGGTTCCGGAATATATATATATTTCTTCAATGTCTGATGTTTCTTTTTATATAAAACATGTTTATAGTCGAGTCTTCTTCCTCTCTGTTGTAGACATCTGTGCCGGTAGCGATGTGCCCGTGTTTCTTGATGTCGATGAAGCTGGTTTTTGTTCTGTAGTTTTTCCTCTTGATGGAACTCGATGCTGAAGCCCTGCTTCATACGGATTGGTGGATGTTACCCCTACGGTCGATGATGGTAATCCACTCCCGCCCGTGTTTCTTGATGTCGATGAAGTTGTTTTTTGTTCTGTAGTTTTTCCTCTTGATGGAACTCGATGCTGAAGCCCTGCTTCATACGGATTGGTGGATGTTACTCCTACGGTCGATGATGATAATCCACTCCCGCTATTATGCGCTGGTTGAGTATAGCCTTTATCGATGGATGACCTTTTAACGTTAATTGGCTCAATATTAGTCAGAATTGGGGCACTACGATCATTCGTAACGGTTTTCTTCAAATGCCGTTTTTTAAAATTAGCTATTTCATCCAAGACGCTTTGATTTGATGACGATGGAGGCATTGACTTTGCCTCATTCACACGATGCTTGGAAGAATCGTGTTTAGCTCTGTGAAACGAATTCATCAAAATCAACTCATTTAACAGAAAGTATTACAGAAATCTTACTTTGATGGTTTACGGTTTTGATTATCCATTTGCTCAGAATATTCAAGCACGATCGATCAATAATATCTAAAGTATTATGTATTACAAAATGATATACCTTTACTTTGTTTCATATGAAGCACCTTCACTTTTCCGTAGGATTTGTCACGCACATTTACCATATAAGGTGAAGCATGTTTATTCTATACGGTGATGTCGATGAATCAGCTGCTATTACCAGAAAAAAGGAATAGCTAACTCGCATAAAAGGGATTATTGTAGGCTGAAGCAATAACTATGTTTGTTTTGACAGACTATACTAGATCTAATTACTCTAAACGGTATATGGACGTCCGTGCACATCAGCTGATTTTTTAAATCGAAATCAAAGGAGATCGCACAAATGTGGATCTACACACATATTTCGAGGTTACTGTCGTATAAAAGCGTTTCATTGCATTAGTGAAACTCGTTCAGGATTCGTTATAGCACTTGTCACGACTGTTAGTGGTACAGAACTATGTGATGTATGCGTCGAAGCTCATTAAATGAAACGACTAATTACCTCTAAAAGAGGTAGCTAAAATATATTACTCCGACGCCTAAGTCAGGAACATCGAGATGAAGCGCTGAGGTTTAGTTTACTTCACATTTGCGTCGAAATATTTCATGATTAGACTAGAAGGCATTATTCATTAACACATCTCTAGCTTTACACGATTTAGAACCTGTGAACGGCACCAAAAAAAATGTGTGTAGATCCACATTTTTGCGATCTCCTTTGATTTCGATTTAAAAAAATCAGCTGATGTGCAC